TGGGCTGCAAACCGCAAGGTCAGCAGTTCAAAACTACCAGCTGCTCCGAGGGAGAAAGATGAGGCTTTCTGCTCCCGTAAAGATTTAAAAGCCTCGGAAACCCTGTTCAGGGTCACTATGGATCGGAACCGACTCGACGGCACTTAACAACAACAACATCTGTTAAACCACAACTTGTCTGTCAGTTTGTTGTACTATGGTGGCTTGTGAGTTGCTGTGATTCTGGAAGCTATGCCATGGGTATTTTATATACCAGCAGGGTCACCCACAGTGGACAGGTTTCAGATGAGTTTCCAGATGAAGACAGACTAGGAAGAAGGAAAGGCGAACTTCTTCTGAATATTTATTTAGTCACTGAAATGCTTATGAATAGCAGAGAAACATTGTCAGATATAGTGCCTGAAAATTATCACCTTAGTTTGGAAGGCACTCAAAATGTGACTTGGGAACAGCTGCCTCCTCAAAGTAAAGTTGACCATGATGGCATGAATGGAGTAAAGCCCTCAGGACCTTCATTTACTAATGTGGCACAACTCAAATTGAAGAGAAACAGCTGTAAACATCTAGTAATAATTGGAATATTGAATGTATGAAGTATGAATCTAGGAACATTGGAAGTTGTCAAAAATAAAATAGAACACATAAACATCGATATCTTAGGCATTAGTGAGCTGAAATGCAGTGGTTTTGGCCATTATGAATTTGACAACCACATGATTTACTATGCTGAGAATGACAAATTGAAGAGGAATGGTGTTGCATTCATCATTAAAAAGAACATATCCAGATCAGTTATGAGGTACAATGCTGTCTGTGATAGGATAATATCCATGCACCTACAGGAAAGACCAGTTAATACCACTATTATTCAAATTAATGTACCAATCACTAAAGCCAGTGAGGATGAAATAAAAGAATTCTACCAACTTCTTCAATCTGAAATTCATCAAACATGCAATCAAGATGTATTGATCATTATTGGTGATTGGAATGCAAAGGTTGGAAACAAAGAGGAAGGATCAGGGTTGGAAAATAAGGCCTTGGTGATAGAAATGCTGCTGGAGACCACATGATAGAATTCTGCAAAACCAATGATTTGTTAATTTCAAATACCTTCTTTAGATAGCATAATAGACGATTATATACATGGTCCTCAACAGATGGAATACAAAGAAATCAAATTGACTACATCTATAGAAAGAGACAGTGAAAAAGGTCCATATCATTAGCCAAAACAAGGCCAGGGGCAGATTGTGGAACAGAGAATCAATTACTCATATGCAAATTCAGACTGAAGCTGAAGAAAATGAAAACAAGTCCACAAGAGCCAAAATGTGACCTTGAATATACTCCACCTGAATTTAGAGATCATCTGAAGAACAGATTTGATACATCAAACACTAAAGACTGAAGACCAGAAGAGTTGTGGGATGACATCAAGAATATCATACATGAAGAAAGCAAAAAGTCATTAAGAGAGGATAACAAATGCTGGTGAGGATGCAGAAAAACTGGGACCCTCCTACATTGTTGGTGGGAATGCAAAATGGTCCAACCACTCTGGAAAGCAATATAGCGCTTCCTCGGAAGTGTGGAAATAGAGATACCGTATGACCCAGCAATTCCTCTACTTCATATCTACCCACAAGAAATACAAGTCATAACACGAGTAGATATATGCACACCAGTGTTCATAGCAGCACTACTTACAATAGCAAAAAATGGAGACAACCAAAATGCCCATCAATTGAAGAATGGATAAACAAACGGTGGTACTACACACAATGGAGTACTACGCTACCTTGAAGAACAACAAGGAAGATGCAAACCATTGCATAACATGGATGAACCTTGAAGACATTATGCTGAGTGAAATTAGTCAGTCACAAAAGGAGAAATACTGCATAAGACCATTATTGTAAAAGACTAAGAAAAAGAACCCACCCAAAAGGAGGGGGGATCTTAAAAAAAAAGTCATTAAGAAGACAAGAAAGAAGGAAAAGATCAAAATGGATGTCAGAAGAGACACGGAAACTTGCTCTCTAGCATAGAAATGCTAAAGCAAATGGAAGAAATGAGAAGGTACAAGATCTGAAGAGAAAATTTCAAAGATCAGCTTGAGATGACAAAGTCAAATATTACAATGAAATGTGCAAAGATCTGGAGTCAGAAAACCAAAAGGGAAGAACACGCTCAGCATTTCTCAAGCTGGGGGAACTGCAGAAATAATTCATACCTCGACTCTCGTTATTGAACGATTCGCTGGGCAAATTACTGAATGGTGCAGAAAGCATCAAAAGAAGATGGAAGGAATACAGAGTCACTGTACCAAAAGGAAATGGTTAATGTTCATCCAATTTAAGAGGTAGCATATGATCAAGAGCCAATGATACTGAAGGAAGAAGTACAAGGTGCATTGAAGGAATTGGCAAAGAACAAGGCACCTGGAATTGATGAAATACAAATTCAGATCTTTCAAGAAAGTGAAGCGGCACTGGATGCACTCACTTACCTATGCCAAGAAATTTGGAAGACAACTTCTGGCCGACTGATTGGAAGAGATCCATATTTGTGCCCATTCCAAAGAGAGGTGACCCAATGGGATGCAGAAATCATCAGCCAATATCTTTGATATCTCATGCAAGTAAAGTTATACTAAGAGTAATACAGAAATAACTGCAATCATATATTGACAGAGAACTTCCAGAGGTTCAAGCTAGATTCAGAAGAAACCATGGAACGAGGGATATCACTGCTGATGTCCGATGGATTTTTGCTAAAAGCAGAGAATATCAGAAAGATGTTTACCTGTGCTTTATTGACTACACAAATGCTTTCAATTGTGTGGATCATGACAAGCTATAGACAACATAGAGAAGTATAAGTATTCCAGAACACTTAATTGTACTTATGAGGAATCAATACATGGAACAAAAAGCAGGGTTTTTTTTTTTTTAACAGAACGTGGGAACACTGAATGTTTTAAAATTAAGAAAGGTGTGTGACAAGGTTGTATTCTTTCACCATCCTTATTCAACCTGTATGCTGAGCAAATAATCCGAGAAGCTGGGTTCTATGAAGAAAATGTGGCATCAGAGTTGGAGGAAGACTCATTAACTACTTGTGATATGCAGATGATACAACCTTGCTTTCTGAAAGTGAAGAGGACTTAAAATACTTAATGATGAAGATCAAAGACCACAGCATTCAGTATGAATTGCATCTCAATGTAAGGAAAACAAAAATCCTTAACACTGGAAGAATAAACAATGTTCTTATCAATGAAGAAAAGATTGAAGTTGTCAAGGACTTCATTCTTTTTGGATCAACCATCAACACTCATGGAAGTAGCAGTCAAGAAATCAAACGGCATATTGCATTAGGCAAATCTGCTGCACAAGACCTTTTTAAAGTGTTGAAGAGTTAAAGATGCCAGCTTGAAGACTAAGATGCACCTGACCTAAGCCGTGGTATTTTCAATAGCCTCATATGCATGTGAAAGCTGGACAGTGAATAATAAAGACTGTAGAAGAATTGATGCTTCTGAGTTATGGTGTTGGAGGAGAATTTTGAAAGTGCCATGGCCTGTCAAAAGAACAAACAGATCTGCATTAGAAGAAGTGCAGCCAGAGTGCTCTTTGGAGGCCAGGATGGCCAAACTTCATCTCTCATACTTCGGACATATTGTCATGAGGTTCCAGTCACTGGAGAAGCATATCATGTTTGGTAAGTTGGATGGTCAGAGAAAAAGAGGACAACCCTCAGCGAGACGGATTGGCAATATGGCAGCATCAATAGGCTGAAGAGTGGGAACAATTGTGAGGTTGGCCCAGAACCGGCCAGTGTTTCGTACTGGTGTGCGTAGGGTCAGGAGGAGTCAGTATCAACTTGATGGCACCTAACAACAACAAGAACAATAACATGGTAGTTAACTTTGGGAGCTGTGGAAGATTAATAACTAGAAAGGGGAACAAGGAAGGCATATATAGTCTTGGTAATATTTCATATTTTTATTTTGGTTGTATGTTTATTTAATAAAATTAACCACATTTAAGATTTGTGAACTTTGCATCATGTATATTACAAAACAAATCATCAATAAATAAATAAGAGGGAAAAAGCAGTATTTCTATCGGCACTGATATGAAAGGATTCTCAATATGCATTTTAGCAGAAAAAAATTTATAACTCTAAAAAAAGTTTTACAAGGAGCTCTGGTAGCGTAGTGGTTACGAATCGGGCTGCAAACCTCAGGGTCAGCAGTTCGAAACTACCAGCTGTTCCGCGGGAGAAAGATGAGGCGTTCTGCTCCCATAAAGATTTACAACCTAGGAAACCCTGTATAGGGTCACTATGAGTTGGAATTGACTCCACAGCACATGACAACAACAACAACAACAAAAAGTTTTATAACTATAGTATGAAAGTAAAAGAACTAAAGAAATGCGTTCATCTGTTAAATGAATTTTACTATCAGTGTAAAAAAAAACACCTTGTAAGACAAAAAATTTTTTTAGATATTTTTATTTAATTGAATAGGATGTATTGTACAATAGAATGAGAACAGATTTCTTAAGCAGTTCAATATTCTATATTTAAGTAACATGATAGATGATGTGATAGTTCAGCATTGTTGAGGCATAATTTGCATTGATTAATTTCATATTCAGTATATTTTGTGTATTCATGAATTTTAGTAAAATTTGGTGCATGCATATTGGCTATTGAATTCTATTATTAAAAACACTATTGACTTCTTATGTGTATTCTTGTCTCTAATATGTAGATAATATGGCTTCTTTTTAAGAGCATAAAGAAGTTATTTAAGTACAGGAATGATTGCCTAGTCTTTCTCTAATAGAGTTTTCACTGATTATATGTAGCCTTGCACATGAAATGGCCTCAAATTTTAGGACATAGGATGTAATTTATTCAGTTAATAAGTGTAAACTAATATTTGTCCATTAAATTACCTTGACTATTTCTCTATTCTGTCTTAGGATGCAATAGTAAAATGAAACTCAGTGGACGACCCTACAGACACATGGGAGTCCTTGGAACTTCAAAACTCTACGACATTAGACAAACTATATTTACTTTCACTCCACAGGTGAGTAATAAAAGCTGGAAAGCTCATTGAGATGAATGGAAGTAGAAGAGAAGCATTGCGAAAACAAAGTATGTGCTGGAGTAAGGACAAGTGTCAAAGAGATCATCAGAGCCTTGGATATATGAAGGGGCTTCAAAAAGTTCATGGAAAAATGGAATTAGAAGATGATGGATTTTTTCCACTAACTTTTTGAAGCTCCCTCATGTGAAGTTGCTCAGTAAATATTAGTTGAGTTCATCTGAATTGAATTTGCAGCTTAGAGCTATGACAAGTAATTATGACTACACGGAGTAGTTCCAGGTATTGGGGAAGCACATTTATGGATATTACAAATGTAATATTTGGAATGCTTGCAAATAAATGTAATTTTGGATTGCTTACAAAAGTATTCTTTCCTTTTAAAAATTAAAAGTGAGAATATTTGTTTCTTATAAACAAAATACAGTAATTTTTTTCTAGCTACTGAATGATGTCATTTTCGTTTTTTGGGAATTGTTGTTATTGTTAAGTGTCACCCCGTCAATTCTGACTCATAGTAACCCTACATAAGGTTTCTGAGGAGCGGCTGGTAGATTTGAACCACCAACTTTGCAGTTAACAGCCCAGTGTTTATCCTACAGAGCCACCCTAGGGGTTGCTGTTGTTCAGTGTCATAGAGTCAGTTCTGACTCACAGAGACCCTGTATAGGGTATATGAAGCTGTAAATCTTTGAGGGAGCAGAAATCTTCATCTTTCTTCAGTGCAGTGTCTGGTAGGCTCAAACCACTGACCTTGCAGTTCAGAGTCCAGTACTTATCCACTAGAGACACCACGTTCCCAGTATGGTTATATACATTGTTATCATGAGGTTTATTTGACACAGCATAATTAATGTTGACTGGGTTACAGTCCTGTGCCATCCTCAAAATCACTCCTGTGTTTAGTACTGTAATTGTAACCACTGTGTCAATCCATATTATTGAGGACCATCTTCTTTTTCATTGATTCTATTTTACCAAGCATGGTATCTTTTTCCAGGGACTGATCTCTCTGGATGACAAGTTTAAAGTACATGAGACGAAGTCTTGCCATAACACTTTAAAAACATATTGTTTGCTGCAGATTTTGAAGGTTTCTTGTATTATTTGCTCAGCAAATAGATTGAATAAATATAGTGAAAAGATACAACCCTGACACAGACCTGATTTTAAACCATGTAATATCCCCTTGTTCTGTACAAATAATTGTCTCTTGCTCAGTGTACAGGTTCTGTATGAACACAATTAACTGCTCTGGAATTCCCATTCTTCACAATGCTATCCATAAGTTTGTTATGATCCACAGTCAAATGTGTTTGCATAGTCAGTACCAAGATCCATCTGATACCAGCAACAATATCCTTAGTTCCACATCCTCTTATGACTCTAGTGGGAATTTCTGGCAGTTCCCTATCCATATACTGCTGCAACCATTTTGGAATTACCTTCAGAAAAATTTTAATTATATGTGATATTAATGATATTGTTTGATAATTTCTGTATTCTATTGAATCACCTTTCTTTGAATAGGCACAAATATGGATCTCTTCCAGTCGGTTGACTAAATCACTGCATCCATTTGTTGAAACATTCAATTGGTAGTCCATCAATTCTTTGAGCCTAGTTTTTTCCCACTGTTTTCAGTGTAGTTTGGACTTCTTTCATCAGAACTATTGATTCTTGATCATATGCTAACTCCTGAAATAGTTGAACATCAATTGAGTCTTTTTCTTCCACCTTCTTTGATGTTTTCTGCGTCATTCAATATTTTTGTAATTGTTGTTATTGTTATTACATGCTGTAGAGTGAGTTCTGGCACATAGTGTGACCCTGTATAGGGTTTCCAAGGAGTGAGTGGTGAGTTTGAACCACAGACCTTGTAGTTCAAACCGACTTTTCAGTCAAGTGCTTATCCTAAAGCACCACACCAGGACTCCATTTTTCTAATAGAATCCTTCAATATTGTAACCTGAGGCTTGAACTATTTCTTCAGTTCTTTCAGCTTGAAAAATCTCAAGCATATTCTTTCTTTTTGGTTTTCTAAGTCCATGTCTTTGCATAATTCATTATAATATTATCTTAGTTCTGTATGCTGCTATAACAGAAATACCAAAAGTAGATGGCTTTAACAAATAGAAATTTATTCTCCCACATTTTAGAAAGCTAAAAGTCTAAATTCAGAGTGCCAGCTCTAGCAGAAGGACTTTTTTTTTTTAATGTTTAATTGTGAATTATATGATAGTTTACATGAGAGAACTTCAGTTTTACATTCATTCCATCATATATCATCTCATTGCCATGGTTCCAATCCCCTCCATGCATCATCAACCAATCAAAGGGTATATCCTAGAAACCTGCCCCCTACATTTGCCCTCCCTCCCCCAGTTTTCATCCCACAGTCCCTTTCCCTTTCTGGATCCAGAGTCCCCAGCCACTTCATCACTCCACATCATCGTCTCTGTCTCCATCTCAGGCATCTCTGTTTCTCTGGGTAGGGTCCCGCTCTCGGCTCTTCTCCGCTGATGGTCCCAGAGACCTCTGCTTCTAGCCTGGAGAATTAATCACTCCCTTCCTTGTTACAAAACGTCTACCTTTGCATTTCCAACCCTCATAATCCGTCCTGATAAGCATTATTCACTACAGTATCACGAGTTACCCATCTGTATTTCCTTTCATCAGCTCCGCCCAGACAGATTGAATAGTACCCACT